GAGTACAGCTCCAACCCTAATTAAAACCCACCTTCCTGTAGCTTCCTAGTAACCCTTCAGACCTTGATTAGCTTGTTCAGGTGTGTTTGATTAGGGTTGAAGCAAAACTCTGCAGGGCTGCGGCTCTCCAGGACCGACGTTCGCCACCCCTGATATATATATATAATATCATTTATTAATGATATAATAAAGACATGATAAAAAGAAGCCGTATTTTAACATTCTAATAGAAAACACGTGAACGCATTCTCAGAAATGTAATATTTGAATTCATGTCGGTTCTATACATTTTAAAATCGTTTACACCACTTTGAATTTATAAATAGCAATGATTTCAAACATATTTTATATGATGAGGGTCCTCTATGTTTTATGATTTTCTTGTCACAAGACAACAATGGCTCCTGCAAGGGTGATTATGTCACATGTTCAAATGTTAATAATATTGTTAAACAAGATTGTATAAAAGTAATTTTGATCATTTTCAGACGCTTTTTTATTTTATATTTGACCCTTTTATGAAAAGACACGTTTTGTTAAGCTCAAATAGCGTAAATTATTGGTTTTATTCACTTAAAGATAAATAATAAATATTATTTTAAATAAATATGATTAAAGTATTTAAAAATAAATACAATTAAATAAATAATATTGATATTACTAAATATTAAAAACATTAATAATAAAAAATAAAAATACTGCGAAAATAAAATTTTTTGACAATAATAATGTAATTCAAGATCGAGTATTTCAGTACTTTTTATTTAGTGATGACCGTCATTCATCATTTTTCTGACGAAAAGGGTAAGCCTATAAACCTTTTTGAGAAATCCAAAGTGAATACAAAGATTGCATTAAAAAAAAAAAACTTGGTGCCTGAGTTTTTACCTAGACTTTTATCATCTCGAATATTCTTATCCGTCATTGACACAGTAAAGCAAACGTGAAAACAATATCGACCTGAGTCTGAAGCGAGACAGGTGTTCGCAGCGCATTTCTCTATTGCGTTACACACTCGCGTTGTGACTGCAGATGTCGCCCTACAGCAGCCTTAGGACAGGACGGCAACGGCACATTCATTCTCTCGCGACGCATTTACGCATGATGTAACCCCAATGTTCAAGTTAAAAACCCAGTCCAAAACCGTGCACCAAACAGTCGTCAAGACTGTGGCGAATCATTCTGTTCATTTAGTTTGACTTGTCATGACGGCGCAATGACCGGTCCCCTCCTCTCATTATAGAGCCCTGGGTACATGGCAAATACCCGCAGGACCTGTTGCCGGGGTAAATATGGCTGAAAGGATGGTCGGTGGTTTGTTGTGTATCTGTCTTCTTGGCGCTTGGCGGATCGCTTTTTGGGGCAAAATGGTGAATGTGACCTGAATGCGGATTGTTCTCGAGTAGAAAATTACGGCAAACGCACTTTTCACAAGGCATTGATTGCATTTCCAGCTGCTTTTCGCAGCGTTAGTCATCGCGTCAGCGGTCTGCCGCGGTGGCCCGACTGCTGTTTCTCTATTAGTTTATGTCGCGCGGCGTATTAACACAATTTACGCACATTTATGCCGGCAGGCTACTTGCTTTCGAGGGATTTCTTTCTACGGCTGGTTGGCCGGTCGGACGCTTCCGTGTCATTAGTGCATTTGCGCCAGAACTTCCAGCAGACGGCTGAGATCTGCTCACGTAAAGCCGCCGAGTGGAGGGCGCGCGCTTGTTGCATCGCCCGACCGAACAGCACCGCGTCGTTTCTGCGGCGGAGCGCGTTTTTGGACATTTTTCGCATCACCGCCGCTTTTGTGTGCACGAGCGAGGCGTCTTTCTGCCCGTCCGCGCGATGTTCATGATGGTGATGATGACATTGGCTGGATAGATAGATAGCTAGCTAGAGAGAGAGAGAGAGATAGATAGATAGAGAGAGAGGGAGTGTGTGCGAGAGGAGCGTCTTGCAGCAAAGGAGCGTCATTTATGCATGCATGCTTATTGAGTTTGGGGATTGTGCTTTGAAGGAGAATGCAGCAGCCCAGCCGTGACCGGGGCTGATTCCGGTTCCTCAGCGGCTGGTGTTTCCCCGTCACCAAGTGCATGGGGAAAGCGGTACACGCAGATGGCATGGACACTTGCGCAAGCCCATTCGCACTCAGTCCCCCAGCACCTTCTGCCCCGAGAGCACTGCAGCAGCGCCGCCGGCCGCCACTGAGCCACAGCAGACGGCATGAGGAGGCTTGATCCGGTGCATTTCTCCATGCTCATCATCGGGGTCTCCTTCGCCTGCTACGCCCCGAGTTTGGATTCGCTGCAGGACCAGGCATACCGATCGGCCGTGGTGATCGAAGGCGAGGTGAGCTCGCTTCCCGAGAACGTCTCCGTGGAGCCCTACAGTGTGAATGTCAAAGTACTGGACGTGTGGCCGGTGAACAGCGGCGGGCTGGAGCGCGAGCAGCTCGTCACCGTCGGGGAATTCGGCTCCGAGGCTCCGTGCGTGGCGGTGGAGAAACACCACAGATATATCTTTTTCATGGACCCTACGGAGGAGCCTTTAGTATTCAAAGCCTCGTTTGCTCCTCTGGACAGCACAGAGCAGACCCTCAAGAAAGATGTGGAGAGCATATTGTGTGAAGACTGCGGTAAGTTTTATTCACTGTGAGACTGTGACTGTGGCTCTTCATTGTTAACGGATAACGGCTCATTCTCGGAGAGCATCACAACGTTGCGTTTTGCTCTAGAAGAGAACGGGAAGATGGGTCGCTTGTTTTTGGGCGTCTCTGCAGTATTGTTCTAATCACCGTTATAAACATTTAGGTGTACACCAGTACACACACACACACACACACACACAAGCATGCAAGCAGAGAGAGAGAGAGAGAGGCATTGACCACATCTGTGGCAAGCCCTTTAAACCTTTATTCTGTTAACCCACCGAGAACTAATAGTGACTACTGCCTTCTTCACTTTCAGCAATTCAGTAGATGCTTATGTGTTCTGATAGACCTTTAAAAAAATGAATTTTTTGGAGATTTTTGGAGTACGTTTTGCAAGAGAATACTATTTCAGTCTTTCTACTTAAAGGGGTCATATGATGCTTTTTTAAAGATCATTATTTTGTGTATTTGGTGTAACAGAATATGTTGACAAAGATTCCTAAATGCATCTACTTTCGGAAGGCCAAATAAAGTGCTTTTGCTTTCGCCTAGAAACACACAGCGTCTAACTGACATGGCTGCTTCAACACTAACTGCGGTTACTGAAACCACGCCTTCTTTCTTTGCGTGCACATTTGGGCGCATTATGCAAATATTCCCACATAGTGACCTAGATATGTGGGGGCATGTTAGAACGAGCCATTTTAGGGGGGTGTGGCAGAGTTTTAACTTTGATAAAGAATGTCTCTTTGGTTTTGAGACTTTAGTCTTTGCAACTTCAGGGATCTTATCTATTCACGAACAGCTTGTAACACTCCAAAGAGAAAGGAAAACTTGAAATCGCATCATATGACCCCTTTAACCGTTTATTGTTTAATTCAATGTGTTACTTGCCATTTCTTTGTAATTATTTGTGAAAATGGTGTAAATCCTACACCATTTTTTTGTGTGTAGGCTATCTACTCAATTACAGCTTTGGCTTTGCTTTGCACTGTCCCAATGTTGACACATATTGTACCATTGTTATTGGTAAAACATTTTACTATTATTTTGTTTGAGGATCTGTGGTTTAGATATCAAATAGTTGCTTCCAACTAGTATGTATTTGCGATTTTTGTTATACATATTCCAGTTTTGCTAGTAACTATTCTTCTTTTATATCCCAATAGTTTCTAGTAACTTTTTCACCTCATTAGTTGGAATTGCATGTTTGACTTGTTTTATGTCAATTGGTCACGTGATAATTACATATTAGTAAGATTAAAAATGTTTTCTTTAAAAATTCTAATACACACTGACTAGGGTGTAATAAATCAGTAATACATTGTAAATCTTAAGTAAATCTTACACCAGCACTTTTTCCCCAGTGTCATGTCTATACAGCTAGTATTAGGAAAACTGTACTAAGACCAAATGAATTGTTACTGGTAACACTGGACTAGGTTCCAGCAACAAATGGAATACAGCATTAGTTTGAAGTTATTACTTGATATCTGAACCTCAGATCGCCACAGGAAACATTAACAAAAATGTGTTACCAATAGTAAATTGTCACTATTGAGATTAGTAGAATAGGAATAAATACCATTATCAAATAAACAAATACATGTGACTATTAAGTGAATTGTTTCTAATTAGAAATAAGTTAGAAATAACACTAGAAACATTCAAACCCATACTAGTTAGAAATAAATGTTAAAACAGTTTGCCACGACCATCAGCTTGACATGCATTAAATGACCAATTATTCTGTACTCTCAGGCAAAGGAGTTCAATCAATATGAAGCAATGTACATGAATCTCCAGGCTAAGAGTTATCCATGTTCATCTGAAACACGTGATTTCACATAATGCAGCATGATGTGCCACGATTCATGCAGGTTACTAACCTTCTCATGATGTTTAAAGTGTATGTAAGGTGAGAAGCATCAGATATTTCTTGGCCATTGGGATATGTGAAGCTTCGTGCCTCGGAAATGTGTGTGAAATAATGCGGACGGCTGTATATCAGTTAGCTTTGGGTTGGCATCAGGAAACCACGTGATGGGAAACTGGAAATCTGCTGGCTGTGGTTGGTTCAGGATCAGGTGGCAGTGGCAAGGCCCCTTACAGAAAGGGATTCCCATTCAAATGCAGATAAGCTCTGGCTTCACAGTCCTTCCCTATTATAATCTGACATATTGGTGAATGTTTTATAGCCTGCAATGACATGTACGTGATGTAATTTAACAAGACTTTTCATTTAATGATGTTTTCATTGTATTATATTTACGTTTTATGAATTAGAAATGAGCATGGGCTCAGTGTGCTTTAAGAACAGTGAGACTGTTTAAAACAATAGCTGTGTTGTAGTGCAGAGATATGTTTTATTTCTTCAAATTGCTTGCAACTTGCCTTGTAAATCAGTTAATGCATTTCAAGTGACCTTCAGAGGAGGTGTGGTTCAAATTAAGGGTTTTGCATGGCACTAGATTGGTAGATTTGTTTTGTTGATAGATGTTAGGCTCAGCATTTTTACTTTTACATTGTGATTTCCACTGCAGTTGACATCTATGCGCAAATGATGAGTTTTCGCTGGAATAACTCCATAGTCCAGAGACAGAGCCTTAAGTGTTCTCTCTCTTTAATTCCTGTGTCTTTTCTTTTAGTCTAATGGCAGATTATTAAATTAGTAATAATTTTACCATAAAATTCTATCACAAGGACTTTCTGTTTTTTCCCGTCCTGTTCTTTCCAGACAGTCATGGTTGTTTTTTAGGAAACGCTGTATTTCTGAGACAGACAAAAATGTCTAGTGCCATTTATAATGCATTTGGTGTATATATGCCCACTTCCCCACTGTGCAAAATGCCTCTTGACCTCTTGATATAATATAATACAACATAATATAATAAACATAGCTTTTTCAGCTTCTGCTGCAGACCTTTCTATATGTAAAATAGCATTTAATGTAATATAATGCATGTGCAATATAAAAATATAAACAGGTTGCATATGCAAATATAAACAGGTTTTGGGATTATCAGCAAAAAATTTATCTTATGAATAAAGGCGTAATTCAGCATGTAAGTAAGTTTAAATGTTTAAAAAAAAAAACATTTAAATATAAAATAGTATTTTATAGTTTGGTAAAAAATAAAAACAGAGGTCATTTTAATCAATCTACAAAATATTGTTTAATATTTAGATATTTATATTTACTATTTATGTTTAGAATAATTAATGGCATATATAAATGTCAGTTCTGTGCTGAGAATATGATATCCAAGCTGGTGAAATTGCCTCACTGTATGTGTCGCTGTGCCGATATGAATGAGTTGACTTGTGAATAAATGGAAAATGGCTTTTGTTTACTCAGGAAAAGTTTGGGCAAAGGGAGAGAGGAAAGAAGTGTCATACAGAAATAGTGTATGTGAAGGAGGTCAGGTGATTTTAAGAGGATTTACCCAGTAAAAGCTGAAAGTTTAATGCATACCTTTAGGAAAATGATCAGTGCAAAAGTATGGGCTTACATTTCTGCCACAATTCTGCGTGCGAAAGATCATATTTTGAGCGCACAAAAGTGCATTTTGCACGCGTGCGATCTGAGTTTGTGGAGAAAATGTTCGTTTCGCAAAGAAAAAAGTCTTTCGAGCGCACAGAAATCAATTTTGCATTTAAAATACATTTTTGGATGTGTGCAGACCTTCTCTTTTGCGCGTGCAACGTTTCACTAGCTTGCTCACCTGATGCCCCCCCCTCTGTGCTCGCTAAATGCCAACAGCTAGCGTGCTCAACACAACCCAGCGTTACAATGTGCCATAATTCCAGCCAATCAGAGACCGAGGCTGCTAAATTCTGATTGGCTGCCTTGACAACCAATCACAACATTTCTTGCATTACCTCGACAGCAGCGCTCGAACGAACATTTTCTCCACAAACTCAGATCGCGCGCGTGCAAAATGCACTTTTGTGCGCTCAAAATATGATCTTTCGCGCGCAGAATTGTGGCAGAAATGTAAGCCATACAAAAGCCTGTCACATAGTGAGTGTTGCTGTTTGTTAGAAAGAAAATGAGAGCAGTCTTGATCCACAGAGACCGGTGTGCTCAGAAACACAATCCAGCTCTGAGACTGAAAGACGACAAACAGACGGACAGGGTATGAGTGAACATCTAGTCCAGTGCGACCGAACTAATCGTGACTGATCAGAGTGACCATACCTTGAACTCTGCAGCAGAAAGAGAGAGAGTCTGTAAGTTTAAATGTGCTTGCAGGAGAGGAAGAGGATTGAGAAAGTGTGTGTGTATGTGTGTGTCAGTGCCGATGAGAGAAAGAGAGAGCAAGAGATCTGGAGCTTGTATGAATTATGCAGGCTGCAGTCTAGAGTGCAGAGTTTTAGCTGAACATGTTCCTTTTTCTCTCATTTGCCTCTGATTTATATTTCACAGTAACTTCTCCATGTGCTCTTTCAAACACACTGAGAACAGAAAGCCGAGGGCAGTCGAGTCGGCGTGTTCACGCCAGATAAAAAGCAGCCCGTATCAAAGGCGCTCAGATATGAAATGGGAAAAATGAATGAACGTATTGATTGCACATTGTTTTAGTATTCCATCGCAAACAGCGGCGCATTTACACTCGCAATATTATTGCTTTTCCCTCAATGCAGTGTGTTAAACATTCCTGCACAACCCCTGAAGCCATGAAGACATGCAGAACATCAGAGGCGGCGTCACAGAAACAGCCCCACCTCCTGGTCAGATTATGGTAATGCAGGAAAATCTCCCACTGGGGGAGAGCAGCCCATATAGAGGAAGCTGGTGCTTTTTAATCTAAAGTGTATAGATGCTGTATGACGTTGTATTATAGAAGCAAAGGAGCTTCATAAGAAGCTTATAAAGACAGTGATTGTCCTTTAAGCCGCAGAAGGACAGTTGAAGTTTACCCAGTCACTGAATTATTGAACAGCACTTAGTTTATCTTCAGTCCCTTGACACATGCTCACAA